AAACCACACCCATACCCTCGTACCAGGCATGCTGGAGGAGCCGTCTTCGACGGGCCCGCCCCGCCAGGGCGACCCCCGGTCGCTGAGCGCGTCCCGGTCCTCAGCCCCTGAGGCGCGGGGCCGTGCGGTGGAGGCCTGGGGAGAGGACGCAGCGATGTCGACAAAGTCCAGCTCCGAGGCGGCGCCGTGGCCGCCCCAGCCGCCGCCGCCCAGCGTGGTCCCCGTGTCACAGCTGAAGGAGGCGTCGGAGCAGGCGTCGCAGGAGTCGGGGGAGGGCAGCTCGCGCCGGCGCAGCACAAAGGAGCCGGAGGAGGAGTCGGGGTGGTGCGCCGAGCCGGCACCGGCAGACGGCGGCGCGGCTGGCCCCGCAGAAGCGCAGCGGGGTGAGTCCGCGCCGCCCGCGCCCCCGCGCGGCAGCTGGAGCGGGGCCAGGGCGGGGCGCCGGCTCGCCCGCGTCAGCACGGGCGTGCAGTGCGGCACCGGGCCGCCGGCCGCGCGCGGGCTGGGCGTCGCGGCGCCCGACCCGGGCGTCAGCCGCCCCTCGGACAGCAGCGGGGACAGCGCCGGCTGCCAGCGCTCGGCGGCCGCGCCGCGGCGCGGCGCGCCCGGGGTGCGCTGTGTGTGGATTGCTGCCCCTGCCCCCCCCACCCCGGTGAAGGAGAAGTCTGAGGGGGGGGGCGACAGCGAGCGCACCGCCATGCACCCCGCCGCGGCGGCCGCTGCGCGGGAGGACAGGTCGCACATGGCGAAGACTGGGGAGGGCGGGCTGGTGGGCATGCCCGCGATCTCCCCCATGGGGACCGCTGGCACGCTGGCGGAGGCACGGCTGGCACTCCCTTCCACCGCCCCCCCGTCCGCCGCTTCTCCGGCCTGTCGCCGGACAAAGGACAGGACCTGCGCGGCCGAGGGGCGGGAGGTCGGCGCGCCGGCCAGCAGCGCCCCCAGCAGGCCCAGGAAGGCCGGGGGCCTGGCGGCCAGGGCGGGGTCGGGCCCGGCCGTGGCGCCCCTGCTTCGCGGCAGCTTCCTCCCGGTCGCGCACTCGTACAGGGAGGCCCCCAGGCTGAACATGTCGGCGGGGGGACCGGGCTCAGCGCCATTGAGCAGCTCGGGCGCCACGCAGTCGCCGTCGCCCTCCTCCCAGTCCTGCGGTGAATGGTGAAGAAGGGGAAGGGAACGGGTCGAATCGCTGCGAGGAGCGCCACATGGCAGCGCGCAGTTGCCAACAGGGTAGCACACCCTGACAGGTGCTGGCACGCATCCATCCACCGGCAAGATTGCTCACGACCCAGCTCCTCCCCACCCAGGTGGGAACCTCTCCCCAGCCTCGGCACCCTCACTTTCACCCACCCGGCTCTCGTTGGCCACGGCCAGCCCAAAGTCGCCGATACGCCACGCCCCACCAAGATCCCGGTAGATGTTCTCTGGCTTGATGTCCAGGTGCAGGATGCCGGACTCGTGCAGGAAAGCGAGCCCGGCCGCCACGTCGGCGGCGACGCGCCAGAGCGCGGCGTCGTCCATGCGATGGCTCTGCGTGTCGAGACGGGCAGGGGGCGGCATGGCTGAGGATGTGTGATGTCACGCGCATGCCCACACCAGGCCCTCCCGGGCCTGCTCCATACATGCCCTGGCCCCTCGCCCACCTGCCCAAGAGCTTCCAGCAGGGTCCCGCCCTGGCACAGGTCCATCTGGATGTGGAAGTGGCCGCCCTCCTGCCAGGCGCGGTACTGGCTCACGATGTTGGCGTGCGCGGGCAGGGCCGCCACGGCCCGCACCTCCCTCAGGCACCGCTCCCGCTGCATCTTGGACCTGAAGCGGCGCCGGGAGCGCTTGACGGCAAACAGCTCGCCGGAAGCGCGGTGGCGCACACAGAACACCTCGCTGGTGGCGGTCTTGCCAATCAGGCGCAGGAACTCAAAGTGGTTGTGGTACTGGAACAGATCCGGGTTGATCACGCTGTGGCTGCGCTTCGCCTCGGTGACGAGCAGCACCTGGGGAGTATCGTGGGGGAGGGGGGCGAGAAGGGTCTGCGCCGCAGGCGCAGGCTTGCAAAGATGGGACTGGCGCCTGTCCCGCTCATGCTGATGTTCAGCAACCCAGTGGCTTCAGAACAGCATCTGCGCCCTCACTGCGCAGATCACCACAGGACAGCTGCCAGTCTCCAAGAAAACACCACAACCCCGCACAAGATAGGCCCCCTTTGCATGCACCGGCTGACCTTGGACTCGGTGAGTGAGTTTTGGCGGTGGCCAATGTGCCCGGCCCTGCTCTTGGTTCGGCGGTGGTTGCCGGGAGACACCGGGGGGAGGAACCAGGGGGAAGCCCCCGCCTCCACGGGGTTCCGTGGTGTGTCTGTGCTCATGTCGCTGAGCGTCAGGCTCGGGGAGCTCAGCATGCCGAAACGCTCGGAGCCCATGGTCGACTGGACTCCATCCACCTCACACAGCTGTTGGTTCTCTATCATCCAACACTCACGCGCGGCCGGTCGGCTGTGCTGTCGTGTAGAGGGCTGATTGTTTCCCAAATATATATGATGGGAACTGGTTTGCTGCCGTTCGGGAACCTAAGGTGAGAGGTCTCTCAAAGGTGGTCTGTCTGTTGTCGTAGGGGTTTCGCCCGCCAGAAAACGCCTCCCGATTCTCGGCTGCTTACCAAGCAGGATGTTGTGATTGTTTGCTGCCCCCACATCCCGACGAGGCATATCGGCTCCGAGGCTCAGGTCGCGGAACGGAAGCTGCGGAAAAACACGTTGAAAGTGCTGTCTCTGGAAAGTCCGAAAACACGGATGCGAATCGCCGCATCCCCAGCAGCTGCCGATACGGATCTAACACGCGCGCGGCCCCCTCGGCACAGCCTCCCTCAGGAGTCAGAGTCAATTTACATCCTCGGGGAAGGAGCAGGACAGGGTGTGCCTCAACCAGGCAGCTGCTGGCCTGCGTCCGCCCCCAGGCAGCCAGCCCCGCTGTTGTGCAGCGCGGCCAGGTAGGCCAGGTGCAGGGCGGCGACGTACAGCACCACGATCCAGGTGCGTGGACTCATCCTCCCCGCCAGGGGCCGGCCAGCCGTCCCACGGACGCGGGAGCCCCGCAGCGCCGCCCCGGGCTCGGTCGCCGCGCTCGTGCCGCCGCTCATCAGGGCATCGAGGGCGGCGGGACCGAGGCCCAGCCCCGTCAGGCCGTGGCTCTCAGGGGGCGCAGGCTGGACAGGAGGGCTTTTAGCCTGTGACTCCAACCGCTCCTGCAGCTCCGAGCACTGCGGGGGGGGGGCCAGAGATGGTATGGGGATGGGAAGGAGAGGGGTGGTGCATCTTTGAGGAGCTACTGAGAGCTCATGCCAGAGGCATTGACCCTACCCCCAAGGAAGTGCTGCCTGACTCCGACTCTGGACGGCCAAAAGAGCCCTGGTCCGCGGCTCACCTGTCTCTCGGCCGCCTCAGCACGAGCGGTCGCTGCATCGGCCGCAACCTGAGCCATGGCGAATCGGCCCTCCGCGACCTCTGCCCTCCGGTCGGCGGCCTCTGATGCCAGTGCGGCGGACCGCCGCGCATCCTCCGCAGCCTTGGCCAGCTCTGCGGCGGCCCCCTCGGCCCTGGCCTCGGCCGCCCGGCAGGCCAACTCCGCAGCCCGGGCGGCCTCCTCTGCAGCCCTCCTAGCCGCGGCCAGCTCCTCCTTCAGCTGACGCACGTGGGCAGCGTGCACGGCATCTTGCGCCGCATGCTGCGCCGCCTGCGCGTCCCATCCCCGGCTGCGCGCGTCCGCTGCGGCATTGGCATCTGCCAGCTCCCGACGCAGCTCCTCGGCATCTGACCGTGCCCCCTCTGCCTCCGCCCGGGCTGCCTGCTCGGTCGCCTCCAGGGTCTCCACCCTGTGTGGGGGGGAATGGTGAAGCGGGTTGTTGCACATGGCAGAGGATGGGCATTGGTTGAGAAGCACACCTTCCCCGACAGAGTGTGATGTGCCATGGCGCTCGGTCAGCGGGAAGTCTGCAGGTGTTCCGCAGGTGATGCCAAACAAGCCCAGCCACCTGTCTCGGAGAGCCGCCTTCTCCATCTCCCAGGCCTGCTGCTGCTCCTGCACTGCAGCGGCCACTGCATTGTGGAATGCCTTGCTCCTCCGTGCCGCCTCCTCGTGAAGCTGCCGGGCGGCATCCTCTGTCTCAGCCCGGTGTGCACGCTCGGCCTCTGCCTCCAGCAGCGCAGCCTACGCGAGGAGGAGGTGGATGTCTCAGGATCTATGAGAAAGTGCTGAGAGGAGGGCGAGGCGCGCACAGCGAGAGCACACAGGCTCTGATAGGTTGTAGGTTTTGCATCGAGGGGGTGGTCGGGCGGGCATGGCACAGGCATGTGTTGGAGCCCCGGCGCCCAGCAACCTACAGACACACCTTGGCCTGGGACTCAGCCTCACGCTGGGCACGCTGGGCCTCTCGCAGCCCCGCCTCGGCCTGCAAGCGTGCCGCCGTGCTGGCCCCCGCCTCCGCCTTTGCGGCCTCGGTCGCTGCCGCAGCCACCTGCACGGCCTCAGCAGCCGCACGCCCCTCCGCAAGGGCCGTTTCGAGGGCCGACTCCAGGCTCGCCAGCCGCTCACGCATCACCGAGGTGGCCGCGAGTGAGGCCTGGCGGGCCGCCTCCTCCGCCCCCTGCTGCCGCTCCTTTTGCGTGGCCATGCCTCGCCGCAGGACGGCCATCTCCTTCTCGTTGGCGCTCGCCTGATTGGTCAGCCTCTCCACCTGGGCGGCCAGCTCCGCAGCCTCCCTCTGCACCGAGGCCCGCTCCTGCTCCAGGGTGCTGCAGCGGGCCTCGGCGTGGGCTCTGGCCATACGGGCCTCCTGCACTGCAGCCTCCTGCTCTGCGGACTGCAGGAATGGGACCAGATATCTGACGGTAGGACTGAGCGGCTGGCTCAGCAGGGACAAAGACGGGTGTGAGCCTTGCCAAGAGCAGGACCACACACTGACGAGGATAACGACGTTGACTGAATGTGAAGGCCTGTGTAACTCCATGGCATGCCAACACCTGACCAATGTACGTCTCAAGGCACAGAGTCCAACCTCCCCTCACCTGGTCCTCCAGGGATTGCAGTCTGGTTCCCAGCTCAGCCAGCATGGTTTCCAGGTCTGAAGCAGGACTGACTTTAGAAAAGGCAGGCAGAGCCAATTCCGTACTCAAGTCAGGTGAAGTCCTGAGCAGCTCAGAGGTCTTTGGCACATCATGCCCAACATGCGGCCTATCTGTCTCTAAGCTTTCGGCATTGGAGAGGGCCCCGCTCGTCTTGGCAGCATCCTCGCCAGCAACAGGGGTAGAGGCTCCTTCTAATCCAGAGACATGATTGAGAGGCTTGGACCCAGGGGATGCTGGTTGGGTGCCAGATGTCCCAACCGGCAAGGACGGGATCCCCGTGGAGGGTATGGAAGACTTCAAGGCCGAGAGAATGTCTCTGGCGCTCTGCAGGGCATGCTGATTACTGAGCGGCTTTGACCCAGTCTCTTCATCAGCACTTGACAAGCTGCGGGCTCATGGGAGGGGTGCCTTGGGTCAGGAGCTCTCGAGCAGGGATGCTCTGGGGCGCTCGACGATACCCATGCCAATGTCCACAATGCCGAACGCAGAAACTCTGTTCTTGCAGATCCATCACAATGGAAAAATTACAGCACACCTTGAGGATTCCTGTGAGTCGGCTCGCTCGAGTGAAAAGCCTCCGACATCCCAGGCCTCCAGTGAGGGTGCAGCCTGAGGTCAAGAGCAACAAGTTGGTGCTGAGCGCACAACCTCCAAGACAGACCTCCTGCAACATCTGCACCTATGCTTCGCCCATCCACCTCAGCTCTACCTTAGTCTTTGCTCTGGCTGAGCGCACTGGCGGTGGGTCCCTTGAACTCTTTACCTTGGCCAGATTCTTGCCCTGCGGGGGAGCAAGCCCAATGAATAATATCTCTGGCAGGGAAAAAGGTGATCCAACAAGATCTATACCGACGTGCGCACCACTTGAGCAGCATCCACTGCCTCGACTGCCACTTGCTGGCGAAGGACCTGCACTCCGTCCGCAACTGCCTCCCGCAGAGACTGCAGCCCTTGGAGCATGACCCTGGATTTACGCTGGCATCATCCCAGCAAGAGTCATAAAAATCAAGATTATTGCACGGTGAACGAAATCGATGCGAAGTATGGATGTTCTTGCTGTAGAGATGAGGTGCGACTTGTCCCGACTTGCGAAGCCCCCACTTCAGGGCGCGCTCGTTTCCATCTGGGCCATCCCCCCCCACGTCCGTTCTGGGCATTCTACAACAATTTGCTTCATTTTCAGGCCAGTCCACGAGCTCGTGCCACATTCTCAAGAGAGCCGCTGTTCTCCTTGATGTGGTTCTTGGCGACGTTCACGTAGTGCTCCGCAGATTCTGCTCAAGGTCGGGTGTGGGAAAAGTCTTTGCATTGGGACCTACCTCAACAGCTTGCCAGCACATTATAGCTGTTTTCGGACACGGATACAGTCAATTTGTGTCCTGGAGGCTGCGGGCAGCCTGCCACCCCCAGGCGATCACATCTCCTGCATGCCACACCTGCCAGGAATGAGCTCTCGTTGTCCTTGAGGTCCCTCAAGAAGCGGGCGGGGTTGCCTCCCCAAATTTGACCAGCAGGGATCTCTGTGCCCGGGGGCACAACCGCTCCAGCTGCCACCATGGCCCCCTTGCGTACCTGAGGCCGTGGAGGAATGAGGTGGGGCAGAGGGTGTGCAGATGCACTCAGTCCCTTGTAGGGTGGGTGGGACAGACCCCAGCTGGCAACACATGCACAGGGTGCCACGGATTCCCCTCAGGGCAACACCAAGGTCTGCCAGCGACCTCAGACACAGTTTGACCGCTGGTGAGGCAAGTGATGTGACACCCATATGGTCTATGTGTGCATTGCTGCGGAGCAGACACCCTCCCCAGCCCCTGGCCAGGCACAGAAAGCCCCGGCGGCAGGCTGCAGCCATGCCTGGTGCGAGGGGTGGCACCCCACACTCACCACTGTGCCATGTGAGAGGACGGCCCCCATCCCCACCAGCACCTCGTCCTCCAGGGTGACGCCATGCATGGACACCTGGTGCCCGATGGTCACGTTGGCGCCGATGGTCGTGTCCGCCGCGTGCTCGTCGATGGACTGGGGGGCGGTGCGGATGAGGGAGCCGTCCTGGATGTTGGTCCCTGCCCCCACCTTGATGCTGCCGGAGTCTGCCCGCAGCACCGACCCATAGAAGACGGAGGATCGGGGGCCCAGGGTCACGTCGCCGATGACAGAGGCATTGGGCGCGACAAAGGCGTCGGTGCCCAGGGAGGGTTTGAGGTTGAAGAGGTTCTGGAGGGGCCTCGCCCGGTTGACTGCACGCAACGGGTGTTTGGCAGGGGGGGTGTGACAGGGTGCGGGAGTGAGGACGACGCATCCAAGCACACATGCTTTCCCCAGACCTGATGGCACATCCGATGCAGGGCGATCTGGATTAGTAGCATGCACGTAGCCTCGCCACACGCAGACATCCATCGATTACTCACGCTCTTCGCGGAAGGCGTAGCTCCCCTGCAGCCTGCTGCCAACCCTGTCTAGCGCCTGGCCCGTCTCCCTGAGCGCAAAACCCAGGCGGTAAACCACATACCCCAAGGATGAGCCCGCTTTCGCGACCATGGCGGCCACTGGTCTACTCGCGGCCCGTACAACTGTCGGGTGGGCGTGTGCGAGCCTGGCCTGCGAGGAGGGCCGAGCCAAAGGGGGGAATGCGGGATGTCCTCCTCTCGCAGTGCAACACCCCAAGCCAAATCCTGCACACTGCAAATCGAGGATGCCCTGTACCGGGCCCACCGTGCTGTTTGGGAGGGGGCACGGGGAGAGTTTTGTCGCGAAGCGCAATGCCATGCTTTCCTGGGCGTATACCAAATGCTGACTCTCTGTACAAAATGTGCAACGTCGAAGACAAGGCGCCCATGCCTTCACCAGCAAAGCCTCTGCTACAAGAACCATTCTCCCTCCAGGAAAGACTTGACATTGCCCTCTGCAACCCCCTCCAGCTTGTAGCTGTACAGGATGCCGCTGGAGGTGGCCACCACTAGTGTTAGCCAGTCATTGTCAGCAGGCCCAGAGCCCTCGTCCCTGTGCAGCAGACTAGGATGCTGTGCTGAGTGGTCTGAATGGCATGGTGCAAAGGGGTTGGGGGGGTAAAGGGGCCTGCCATGCGCCTTGCATGGATGCCCACCGAGCCAGGTGACCCCCACTCCTGCACCAACGCACCCCCCATCCACAGTGGTGAGACTGCAGACGGACGCTGCCGGCCGGCCAGGCAACCGGATGGTCGTCAGGCATCGCGTGGGCTCCACCGCTCGCGCGATGGTGGCCGGAAGGACGGAGGAGATGACCGCCGCTGCTGCTGCAGTGCTGGATTTCCTGTGTGATTGTGCGGAACGAGGGATGGTTACTGATGGTATTTCATGTCATGGCCCAGCCTCCCCCGGGAAGATGGGGATTTGTCACCTGCAAGCATGCCCTCTGGGTGTATTCCTTGCGCGCCCCTTGGCTAACACAAGCGCGCACCCGCTGCATGGATACACCCCTCACTGCTCTCGGCCTGGCTCCCCCTCCCAGGAGCGTCTGCCACTCACCGCTCCAACTGGGGGGTGATGCGGAACAGGTGCACAGTCCCATGGTCCGAGGCCACACACAGGAGCGCCGGCTGGACTGGGGAGGGGGCGAAGGCCAGGCCGCTGATGCGTGCGGGCGTGGACCCCCTTCGGAAGGAGTGCACGGTATCTGGCGAGGCGGGGGCATGCACACGCACCACCGTCCCCTTTTGTGAGGCTGAGGCGAGCAGCGAGCCCGTGTCGCTCCAGGCCAGCACTGCCTGGGGAGTCGGGATGGGGGGATTCTGGGGGGGTGGGCGCGGAGGGCTGTCACACTACAAGCTGGGAATGGGCCCAGGGCCCCATCGCATGAGGGGTAAGGGGGCTGCGGTCGGGTGCCGGAATCGCACAGCACGATGCCGTCCCCATGCTGCGCCAGCTCCTCTACGGGGCGCCCCAGTCCCCCTGACGCCATGCCTCTGTCCGGCCCCTTCCCGGTCCCCACTAAGGCTCTCCATTCCCATCCCCCACCGCCACCCACCAGCGGCGAGCGGTGTGCCCGGAGCTCGCCGAGGACGCTGCCGCTGCCGGAGGCTGCGTCGTAAACGCGCACCGCCCCAGGCTCGCCGCCGGCAGGGACCGCCAGCTGGCAAGTGGGCTCATGGCACGTCGTCAGCGCGGCCACCCCCTGGCACAGGTGCGGCGGGCGCGGGTGAGATTGATGGTGCCGGGACATGCCCGACGCAATGTGCCCACGTCAGTGAAGCGCCTGCCCCTCAGCTCGCCGCAACTACCTCCGGGTTGGGTGCCGTGTCGATTGTCCGCAGGAGCTCCAGCGTCTCCAGCACATAGAGCAGGACCCGGCGCTCCAGTACCACCGCCAGCCTGGTGAGGCAGGAGGTGCAGATGTGCTTTACTGGGCGGCTCGCTAGGACGGTGGGCCCTCAGAACCAGACCCAAGCACAGGGATCAAAGAAGTTTAGCTTGGTGAGCTGGATGCAGGGCCGGGGGAACATCAAGAAATGATCCAAAAGCCAGGACAACACACAGCGCACCGCTTGCGGTTCAGGTGGACCCCCAGGACGGAGGAGGGGAAGGAGAGGCTCTGGATGGCGGCGTTGGAGTGTGTGTTGTACAGGGTCAGCTTGCGTGGGCTCAGGGTGGGCTGCTCCCCCGCACCCACATAGGCCAGCAGGCTGGTGCAGAACAGCATCTGCGCCAGTCTGCATGGGGATGGGGGACATGTGGCAGTCGCACCAATCACGCACGATGCTCTCAGACAAATCGCAGATCAATTGTCCATGTGCTTTCCATGCCCTGCATGTGAACCCGGCCTGGAGATCCGGGCCCTCAAAACCGCAGGAAGATGCATACCCCTCGGCGACTGTGGTTCCAACCAATGGGAAACCTCGTCCAAGACGGCACCACTATACCGGCCCTCGCCCGCACCCGATGGCCCCGATGTCGAGTCTGAAGGCACGTTTATGCTGCTCCAGACTGAACACGCGCAGGCCGCTCATGTCCGCCACCGCGACACAGGTGTTGTCCTGGTTAAAGGCCACATTGAGCACGCCCGAGCCACGCTGGGCACAGTGCAGCGACGACATGATCACCGCCCCCGCGCCCTCCAAATGCTGTTTTATACTCAAGTCATGCCCAAATGCTCCATGCGAGCCCAGGCTTGGCCGATGGGTGCAGGGGTCGATCTCGGAACATCACTTTGCTCTAGTGTCAAGGGCGCGCGCCCCACAGCAATTCCAGCGCGCATGATCGAATTTACACTTCCAATCCGACCATGTCGATCTAGCACTGCATGCAGTAGAAATTTGGTCAAAGCTGACCCATTGACGTCCTCTTGTCATGCCACCGGCCATCACCACCTGAGTCGAGCTCGCAGGGCGGTGCTGCTTGCGCACTCAGGTGTGCACGAATGCACCTCTCTGCACCATGGTGCAGGGCATCCACGACGACTCAGGCTTCAAGAGCACCATTCCAAAAGCCTCTTTTCTTTCCTGCTCGTGCAACTCCCACATGCGTTGCACGGAGGTGTCGGTTGGTGACCAGGTGCACCAGTCCCGTGTCGGAGGGCGGCATCCCAGAGTACGAACGCGTGGTCGTGGTGGAGGGCGCCAATGACAGGCGAGCCCTGCTCCGAGCCGTCCAGGCAAAGGTGCGGGTGTGGAGGTGTGCATGCGCGGGCCGAACCGATTGTACAAGGACAACATCGGCGCCCCGGCGGCCATGCCAATGCCCGGACCCACACCACATCGCTGTGCCAGGTGATCGTGCTGGGCTCGGCGACGGTGGCGCTCTCCGCCATTCCCAGCCCCACGCTCGCAGCCCTGCGCGCGGCGGGGAACGCGGCTACCATCCTCACCGACCCAGACGTTGCCGGGCGCCAGGCGCGGAATGCGCTGGAGGAGCTGCTGGAGGAGCCATGGCACGCGTTCCTCCCCGTCCGCCACTGCACCTCTCTCTCTGCCACGCCGTGAGCCAGGGGCTCTGTGGGTGGTCAGCTGCCGCGAGGATGTGCGCTGGCCTTGCGGCGCGAGGGTCGTGCGCCCTCGCCGCCCTCCCCGTGGGCGCCTCCCCGTGCCACACGATGACAACATGACAGAATGCTTTGCCCCGCACGCTCCTCTTCGATCCAGGTGCCACGAGGTCGGCAACGTCGGGGTGGAGCATGCCAGCCCAGAGGCGCTGCGCCTGGCCCTGGCGGCGGCCAGGCCCAGCTCGCCCGAGCGCACTGCGTTCACGAGGGAGCGGCTGGAGGCGCTGGGCCTGGTCGCCAGCGGCATTGGCCCTGCTGCGGGGGCCCGGGCGGAGGTGGGTCGATGGATCAATTCGAATCGAAATCCCCCCACTGCCGGGCTCTGGTCCGCAGGCACCCTCCCTTTCCGTCCCCTCTGAGCCATTCAGTGCACTCCCTGCTGGGGCCCGCAGGGATCAAACAGCGCGGCGACGGTGCGGCGCCGCGCAGCGCTGTGCGACGAGCTGGGCATCGGCATGTGCAACGGCAAGCAGCTCCTTCGCCAGCTGAACAGCTACGGCTTCTCCATGGATGATGTGGTGTCCGTGCTCAATCAGCTGGAGCTGGGGGGGGTGCGGTGAAGCCGAGGCACTGCCATGAGGGGCGGGTGGTGATGCCCTGGAGCCGTGAGGGGCACCGTCCCACCTGCATTCCTGCCTCCACTGCCGCTTTGGCGACGGGGCACGAGAAGAATTTTTGTCCTGTGCTGGGAAGTGCTGCGGAGTGGAGCGCTCCAATATGATGCCTTGGCTGACACTGCACTCCACATGGACTCGCTTGATGACATGCTCACAGTCACCCCCCCCTCCTGCCCGCCGATGTATCTGCTGCATTATTCTACACAATGTCATGAGCATTCTTCACGAAAACCTTCGAGCCAGCGTGCACAGCGCTTGAAACCGCAGCATGTAGGGTGGAGCACAGATGCAGGCAGGCACCAGCGTCGCCTACTCCTGGCCGCCCCCCCGCGCCCCGCCCCAGCCGCCCTCATAGTAGTTGTTGGGCAGGCCTAGCCAGAACTTGAGGCGCTCCAGGTGCTCGTTGGCCAGCAGGGGCCGGCTCGCGGCCTGCCCCGCCTCGCCCGCGCCGCGCCCGCCGCCCTCCAGCAGCTGGCGGTACTTGGACTTGTCCACCTCCACGCCCATGCGCTCCAGAGCGCGCAGGGCCTGCATGCCCATGCGGAACTCGCCCGTGCGCACGCACAGCGTAGCCAGCGTGTCCAGCATCTGCGCGTCGGGGCGGCCGCCGCCGGCGTGGAAAGCGCGGACGAGCGCCACCGCGCCGCGCACGTCGCGCGCGCGTGCGTGCCCCGCCACCAGCGCGCCGTAGCCCTCCACGGGCGGCGGCCGGCCCGCGGCGCGGGCGGCGGCGACGGCCGCGCGCAGCACCTCTCTGCCCCGCGCCAGGTCCCCGCACTGCGCGCACGCGTCCACCATGGCGTTGTGCGGCGCCAGGTCCACGACGGGGATGCCGCGCGGCCCGCGCGGCAGTGGAGCGCAGGGCGGCGCCGCCGCCGCCGCTCCCCTGCCAGCGGCGCCTGCCGCCGCGCCGCCGCCGCCGCCCGCCGACCCCGGGGCCAGCGCGGCCTCGTAGTGGCGCGCGGCGTCCTGCAGGCGGCCCACGCGGCCGTAGGCCTGCGTGAGCAGCGTGTGCATGCGCACGTCGGGCGCCACGCCGCGTCGGTGCTGCTCGGACCAGGTGTCCAGCACGGCGTGCCACATTCCCACCCGCGCCAGGCCCGAGGCCAGTGCCAGGTAGGCGTCGCGCCGCGGCTCCAGCCCTGCGCGCCGCATGTCGGCCAGCACCTCGCGCGCGGCGCCGGGGCTGCGCGCCACCCCGCACGCGCCCAGCAGGCCGTTGAAGAGCGCGTGGCTGGGGGCGTGCCCCGCCGCCAGCATCTCGCGCAGGTCGGCGCGGGCCGTCGCCAGGTCGCCGCGCGCCGCCGCGCCGCCCACCAGCGCGCCCCAGGTCATGGCGTCGCGGGGCAGGCCGCCCACGGCCATGGCCTCCAGCGCCGCGCCCAGCGCGGGCGCGTCGCCCGCCGCAGCCGCCGCGTGGACCAGGCTGGCGTGCGGGCGCGCGCCCAGCCGCCGCCCGGCCGCCGCCGCCGAGGCGAGCACGTCGCGCGCGGCGGCGGGGCGCCCGGCGCGCGCGTACCCGTCCACCAGCGTGTTGTAGGTCACGTCGCTGGCGGGGACGTCGGCGGCGCACAGCGCGCGCAGCGTGCGCTCCATGCCCTCCACGTCGCCCGCGCGCGCGTGGCCAGACAGCACGATGTTGAAGGCGCGGGCGTCGGGCGGGGCGGGGTGTGCGCCGGAGAGGAGGCCGGAGAGCAGGGCCTCGGCGGCGGGGAGGTCGCCCACGCCCACGCAGGCCTTCATGCCTGGTGTGCATCGGAGGACGAGGGAGCGTGTACATGTGTGAGTGGAGAGTTTGTGCCCAAACACGTCCATGTGTGCGTGCTCTGAAGCTCAGCAGGCCAGACATTTCGTGAGAAACGGGGACCTTGCAGGTCGCAGCCTGGCCTTGAGCCCCATTTGCCCTCCTTGGTTCCCAATCAAAGAGGCCCTTCCCATCGAATTCCTGACCAGCCAAACAGGCATCCACCACCCAACCTCTGCTCCCCCCCCACCTGTGCGGATGGCGGCCGCGTCCAGCTCGACGTTCCGGGCCTCCAGCTCCTTCCACAGCTCGAATGCCTGGACCGAGCCCTCGCCGCCGCGCGGCCCCTCCCTGCCCAGGGCCGCGATGAGGGCGCAGTACGTGACCTTGTTGGGGGCGTACCCCGCCCGTGACATCGCACGCAGGATGCGCACCGCCAGGAAGGGCGAGTGTGCCTGGTTGAAAGCAGGGAATACCGGATGGGAATGGGGTAATCAGGGGAGCTTGGGGGGGGCAAGGGGGTGATTGCAGCAAGCACACGGTGATGCAACCGCGCATAGCTGGCCGACTACTGATCTCATCATCAAACTACGAACCGTCCATCTCCCACTGGAAAACAAGCATTGCAGCGCACGCTCATACATAGCTACCTGCAGGGTGGCATTCAGCACATGCTGTAGATTCGTGTAGCTGGGGGGGTTGGCCCCTGCGCAGGCTTCCTCGGCCAGCCGGCACGCCGCATCCAGCTGCCCACTGCTGCACAGCTCTGCTTTCGAGTGCATGAATGGAAGGGTCTGGTGTCTGACGCAATGGACACCCACTGTGGGTCCCAGGTGGCATGTGAAATGCCAGGACGTCACCATTGTCGTGCAGAGCAGACACAGGCTTTTGCCATACCCACCTCGAAGCTTGCGGGTATAACTATTCTTGGAGGAAGCAGGTTCTTTGCCAGCAGACGAGGCAGAACGCTGGGATGAGCCCGTGTGCTCGCGCGGGGAAGGAGAGGGCCGCTCGGCGCCTATGTGGCTGTCGACGCCCTGGTGTCCACGGGCCAGAGACGCAGAGAAGGCCACACTCCTCCCATGGTCTCTGCGGCCAAGCGATGGCAGAGCATCTATATATATAGCATATGTTGGTATCCTCTGCCTAAGCTGGGGCGAGCGTTCACCGCCGAGGCCCCTTCTGAGATAGCGTAGGTAATTGTGTCGTGGGCCAGTGGAGCAAGTGAGTTGTGCCTCCCATGCACAGCTGCAGTGCACACCTAAGCTAGCCATGTGACCTTTATATGAGTGATGTCGACATTGTGCTTCTCTGAAAGTGGCAGGCGTGGTGGTATGTAGGCCATTTGCGTGCCTCCGCTCGCCTGGTCAATCGGCGTGCAGCGGATCCCTGGCGCCCACGGCTGGCAGCCACTCAGCTGCTCGCAATGTCCAACTACGGGCTGGTACACTCACCAAATTCTTCAATAGTCCACAAGGTGGGATAGTAAAACTCCATAAAAAAACTGTTCCCCAATACTCTAGTCAAAATGAAAGATTGAAAGGGATGGAGGGGCGCATGCCAGTGTTCCCCTGCATGCCCTTCAGCCTTCCCTGGCGTAAAACCAAGGGTGTTATGGTGCCACCGCCAGGCGCGAGCTGACCTCCGAGATGGCGGGCGAGAAGGTCCTGGAGAACGTCGAGGGCTGGGGTTCGTGGAAGGCGGCCGCTTGAGGCCATGCCAGCCCCTCCAGCTGCAGACTCTCGGGCAGCAGGCGGTTGACGCGTGCGATGTCGGCATTCAGCCGCTTCATCGCCCGGGGCAGGTTGCGACCTGGCATTGGGGGTGGGTGGACGATTGGTGCGGTGGAGCTCGGCAGACGCGCTCAGGCATGGCCACCAGGGCCGGTGGTGGCACCAACTGCTATGTGCACAGAGTCCGTGCAATGGAAGGCATTCCAAGCGTTTCTCAGCATGTCAAAACCTCGCGCCCACCCAAGTCAGTCTCACCTGCCGTGCGCCCTCCGTATCGCCCCCAGATACGCACGAAGTCGGTCTGGGCCGTCTTCGCGATCCGGTGCAGGGCTGCCGCGTCCAGCAGGCCCATGAGGAAAGCCTGAATGGGGAGCGAGACTGGGCTGCATGGGCGACGCGCCATGCGCATGCGCCCGGGGTCGGAGCTCCAGGCAGTCCCCATGCACGCTGTGCACAGGAGCCTTCTTCACAAACATCCAAGCCTCGATTTGCCTCGTCCCTACCCCTCCTCGCCTGGGCGGCCATGCCGACGTGCGTCTTGAGGAAGTAGATGTCGCGCTGGGCCCATCGCCGCAGCAGCTCCTCCTTGGGCGGGGGCGGTGCGTCCGCGGGGTGCGCCGCCAGCATGGAGAAGGTGCCCGCCAGCGGCGCGACGCGGTGAATGAAGCAGGCCAGGAGGCGGGAGGGGCCCTCGGCGTGCCGCGCGCCGGGCGGCGCGCCGGGTGGCGCGCCGGGCGGCCGCGCCGCGCACTTCGGTCCTGCGCGGCTGCTGTCCCTCCGGGCCCCGTCCGCCGGCGCGTCGCACGGGCCGTCTGAGTCCACAGCCTCGTTGCCCGCACCCTCCTCGCCC